TCACAAGCTTTTCTAGTGGGTATACGGCATATACCCGCGTATCACATAGACTACACCACTGCGCAGTCCCATCTGAACTTCTGCTTAGCTTTTAGGCTCTGACACAGCTGACCAAATGCCCTGAGAGAGTGAATATAAAACACAAACAAAACTGGAAACTATACTACAGGATGGGGGCGTGTCATGATCGGTTTTACAAATCTGACCCACATGCAGAGAAACCACTCAGAGAGAACGGAAAAAGTTTAACAGGTTTATTGAAGGAGTAACAGGTATGGATCTGGAACTCAGTGAGCTGGTAACTCGGACCTGGAAGTGAGAAGGTAAGTTCAATGGTGAGTTCAGGTTCTGTGGGAATCTAGGTACCTCAGATATTTAGCGGGGTTTGGAACTCACGTTTGAGGGGGGCCTTGTTAGTCCTTAAATCCAGACTGTGTGGTGAATCCAGGGTTTTGTAGCACAAAACCCTGGAGGGCAGACAGGTTAGACTAGCGTAGGACCTGGAGGAGTAATGGAGCGGACTGTCACTCGGATTTTCAATGGGAACTTGAACGGAACATGTGGAGGTTTACCCCTGCTCAGTGTGACTCGATTTATCCTTCCAGGGGAGAGAAGGTCCAGGTATCCAGTAACACAGGAAAGCTTCCTGCCGAGGAGCAAAGAAAAACAAGTTAGACTCAGAGAAACAAAGCTAGATTAGACTCAGCTAAACTCAGCTTGGCTAGAGTACCCAAAACTGGCGAACACTCTGGCGTCGAGGTAGTGACAGTCCACTGCTCAAATACTCCTCCAGACAATGGTCCAACGAGCCACAGGTGTGCAGGGAGGGAAGGCAAAGACAGGGAACCTCCTGGTGGTGAAAAATAGAGACACACAAACAGGCCACACAAACTGGATTCCTAACAGGGTGGAGGCATTCCAGCCGATGGATTGACAGCTGACGCAGCACTCATCACCCAGAGTGTCCCCAGTGTTGCAGCTCTGGAGAATTAGCAGAAAGCCTATCCATATCAGGGATTCAGAACAGGCAGGAACAGACAGAAAAGGCAGGATCCAGACTTCAAGGCATCCTAGGGCTCCCAGGTAGGTTCAGAGTCCGAAAGAGTCCGGAAGCGTGACCAGGCTGACACTCACAGGAGCAAACAGGATCAGGTGCAGACGGGCAGGCTCAGTGGAAGAGGGTAGCAGAGACAGGACGTGAAACCAGAAATTAAGCAGGACCTTTAAACTGGTCTCCTCCTTGGTACCAGGCTTAGGGGAATAAAAACTGATCCTCAGGAGGGGAGGAACAGTGGACGAGCAGGAGATCAGACAGACACAAAACCCTCTTTCCACTGGCCGCCGGGATCCAGGACATGAACCTTGGAATAAACAGAACTGAACAGAAAACAACATATAATGATCTGGCCATGATAGCTGGAACTAAGCCCACTATAAAGGAAAGTAATTAAGGGAGTAATTAAGGCCAGCTACCACAGCAGATCATGACAATACCAGAGGCTATGTAGCCCTCACTAACAACTGTGGCCATTTTTTTTACTACCGTATTTTCACGACTATAAGGTAGGGTGACCATATGTTACTTGTTACTAGTTGTTTTAATGGTTATAAAGTCAGATATGTGGTGGTAATGTTTGATTTATCTAAAGGTTTTAATCTGTTACTGTGTAAATGGGTTTGGCTGGAATTTAAGGACAGATTCTAATAAATCTGCAGAGTGGGGACTATAAATCTGATAGGAGTTTAATTTTTTTTATTGTTGTTTTGCACAATATGCTTAACTAAGTATTTTTTGTTGTTGAATATTAGATATTTTGCAGATACATTTTGTAGATACATTGTTTAGATTGACTTATATCTCTCTACCCCTTTTATAGAATAGAATAGAAAATCCCTTTATTGTCCCACAATGGGCAAATTTACAGCAGCAGAAAGATTATTGAAAATGGTCACACAAATGAGGACCTTAGAAAAATGTATAAGAATAACATAATAGGGAAGAGTTAAAATATAAAAAATAAAATTCTGTAAAGTGTTTTAACAATATAAAACTGGAGAATTAATAACCAATATGCAGCTATGGACATTTTTACAGTAATGGATATTTGAAAATAGCAGCAACATCAGAGATGTGCAGAATGACAGCAGCAGGTTATGTAACTGACTAAGGTTTCTATCATTACATATGATTTTATTTGTTCCTGCTCCCGGTGGTTGGAACCTTTATTCCACTCTGGATTCTTGTGAGTGTGGTCTTTGTTCACTTTAACTTTTTTTAAAATAAATAAATAAACAAACAGTTTTGAAAACCTCGGTATTCATTCTTTTCCTGCTTTGTGTGTCAACTTTCACGGTTGCTAAGCAACAGAGCATACGGCAGTAAAACCTGCTGAAGGGAGGACCTGTTCGAATTTACAGCCAAAACTCTTCCGGCCTCCTTATTTTCAAGGACTTCGAAGGATCCAGTCTAGGTAGACCGCTTACTTGGAGGATGCAGCCCAGTATTTCGAACAGAGCCTCTGATTAAGAACAGGGCTGCCCGCACTGACGCGGCTCAGGGATTACGTCACACGGAGCGTTGTGCGCAGTGAAATCAGGACATTTCCTCACTTTCTAAAAAAAACCCGGGACGCCCGGGACAGGACGTGAAATACGGATATGTCCCGGGAAATACGGACGTTTGGTCACCCTACTATAAGGCGCACTTAAACGTCTTTTTTTCCCCTCAAAATGTGCGGTGCGCCCTTTGGTGCGGTGCGCCCTATGTGTGTTGTAACTGCGACTTTTGAGATCACCTCATTGAGGAGATGATGAAAGAGTGGCTGAATGTAAGGAGACCAGGTGTTTTTTTTCCACTCATCACCATCGCTGTTGATCTGTGACTCCATGCGTGCCCATCTCACAGCTGATGTGAAAAACATGGTGAAACAAATTAAGCTGTGCTCGCTGTTATTCAACCGCTCGACATCGGTGTGAACCAGACCCAGCAGGTGCAGCAGAAGCAGCGTGTTTACATGCAAAGTCAATGGTTGACGCCCGTATAGGCGCAGCAAAAGGTCCCGCAGCGCGTTTTGAGCAGCAGGCGCTGCGCATCGGGAGCGTTTAAGCATCTGCCAACGCGCTGCTGCTGCTCCAGATGGAAAAATGGAAGTTTTGCTGCTAAAAGTGCCGCATCAACCAATCAGAGAAGCTGATCTGGGAGCTAACAGCGAGACAGACACATCGCTCTGATGACATATGATATTAAGGCAAATGAAAAGGGCTGGATGGATGAGGAGATGATGAAAGCGTGGCTGAGGGAGCTGTATGTGAGGAGACCAGGTGGTTTTTTCCACGCATCACCATCGCTGTTTATCTGTGACTGCGTGCCCATCTCACAGCCGATGTGAAAAAAAAGGTGAATCAAATGAACGCTGTGCTCGCTGTTATCCCGGGGGTCTGACAAAGGAACTTCAACCGCTCGACATCGGTGTGAACCGGCCGTTCAAAGTAAGGCTGCAAGCGGCGTGGGAGCGATGGATGACCGACAGAGACCACAGTTTCACGATAAGTGGAAGGCAGCGCCGGGCAAATTACGCCACCGTTAGCGGATGGATTGTTGATGCTTGGACTAACGTGTCTGCTGGAACTGTTGTTCAAGCTTTCGCAAAAGCTGGCATCATTTCTGAGGAGCTGCCCGGCACGGGAAGTGACTCTGACAGCGAAGAAGGGGAAACTGGCATGTCTGATTTAGCGCAGCTGTTTAATTCAGAAACAGAGGATGATGACTTTGATGGGTTTGATTAATACTTTGTAATAAATACATGAATAAAGCACAATCATACTCAGTTTTGCTCCCGCTCTATTTTTCTACCTGAAAACTTAATTTAACAGCAGCCTCAGGGCCGGGTCTCCTCCGGTTTCACCGCGGCGGCTGGCAGGTGTTTTTTCATCTAAATAATCTAAATCTTGCAGTTATATTTGCAGTGATCAGTGGGAATAAAGTAGTTTTAATATGTTTTTAAGTGAGAAAGTCCACCTGAAAACTTAATAATTGCAGTCAGTTCATCCAGATTATTATCCTGCCTATACTATTTCTGTCGGAGGCGCTCAGACCCCCACATACCAGCGGTACACCGACAGTAGAAATCCCTTCAACAGCAGCCTCTGGGCTGGGTCGCCTCCGGGTTCACCGCAGCGGCTGGCAGGTGTTTTTCATCTAAATAATTTAAACTGCAGGCACCAGGATACTGGCAATAAAAGCAAACATATTCTGTCGGCAGGTTTCAGGATTTTAAGTTAATTTTGGAGTGATCACAGCGCACTGTCATCTGCGATGTGTCTGTCTCACGGCCAGCTCCCAGGTTTGATTAATACTTTGTAATAAATACATGAATAAAGCACAGTCATACTCAGTTTTGCTCCTGCTGTATGTTTAAATACGCAGTAGAGGTATTTAAAGGTAGTAGAGGACATGTATCTGTATATAAAAAACGCGCCCTATAGTCCGGTGTGCCTTATGTGTGTGTTCAATACAGAAATGGCACACATAACTGAGACTGCGCCTTTTAGTACGGTGCGCCTTATGGTCGTGAAAATATGGTAGTCTAACTAAGGGAAGGTTCTGTAATATGGCAAAACTAGAGCAGTTGGTAAAAAGCCACAGATCTCAGTTTAAGCTCCCAGCATTTCTAGGATGAGAGGGAAGTACCCCCCAAGAAGGGAATACATCTCTAATCAAGTTATAGACATTTTCTGGATTACATTGGGAAACCAGAGCACCAAATGGAAATACACAAAGTTAACATTAAACTAAATTTAACTTAAATCAAAAGGGAAGATTTTTTTTTTATACGGGGAAACTGGAGCACCCAGAGAAAACCCAAAAAACTGCAATTACACTAAAGGATGTTTCTGCAATAAGGGGGAACCAGTGCACCTGGATAAAAGGCAGGGATATCAAACTGAATTAAGTTCCTGCACTAAGAGGGAAATTTAGGGGGGCTGGACAAATAAACCTCTAATTATTGTGAAATTCCTGCATTGTAAAACTTTTCTTATGAAGTGTGCCGCTGTTTTCTGGTTATATTTGAGTATCTTCTTTCAACAACCACCGGTGGTGTAACAGCTCTTCTAGGGTGGGGCGTTCTTTTGGGTCTACTGTCAGGCACTTTGTTAGAAAATCTGTGCATTTCTTGGATAGCCTTTTGTTGATCTTTAGCTTATTTGACAGGAATCTTTTAGTAAAGAACTGTTTTTTGTGCAGAATGAAATACAGGACTACGCCCACCTGCCACACATTTGTTGGTCCAGAACTGAGGAACCCTTGTTTTTTGAATTCTGGTGGGATATGGACCGGAGTACCATAGAAATAATCATATTGTTTTTGGTCATCAAAGCAACTTAGACCAAAGTCTATAAGATAAAGTTTTGGGACTTTTGACTTGGTCTCTATCAGGATGTTCTCAGGTTTAATGTCTCTGTGGAAGATGTTTGCCTCCTGAAGGTGAATTAATGCTTTTAGCAGCTGTTTTATCATGATCTTGGCATTCTTCATCGTTATGCGACCATTGTGTTTTTGAATGTAGTAAAAGAGGTCCTCAGCAGGCATGGGTCTCTCCATAACTAAAATCAGTTCCTCATCCAGATCATACCAGTCTAGCATGGACACGATAGCTGACTGCCCCACTGAACTGGTTGTTTTATCCCTCAGTTTTAACATGATAGCTACCTCAGAGGGCATCTGCTTTCCATTCTCATCCACATGTATTAGCATGTCATCGTCTTTTTTAATGTGTTTGATGGCTACAGGTAATTTATCATGCACACGATAACCAGCGAAAACAGATCCACAGCCTCCCTCTCCAATTTGTGTTTGCTCAACATAGGTTTCCGTAAATTTGGCTTTAAGGGAATCCGCTGTGTTATCATTGGTGTTCTCTGTCTTTACTCTTTTCACATTCGGTGACTCTAGAAAGTCCTCTGCCTTTCTCTTTAGACTCCTTTTCTTTAAGTTTTGTTTTTCTGTTAAGTACTCACTCAGAGGGGAACGGCTCGATGCTGTACTGATGTGGTCCAGGCAACTTTTGTAGACTTCTTCCCCCATAGAGACCTTAAACTTTTTTCTGGCGGTGGAGTCTCCATGCTCAAACATTTTCCTGTTTTTGCTTCTCACTGTACTGATCTGGTCCAGGCAGCATATGTAGTGCCAATCCCCTGTAGATAGCTTAAACTTTTTTCTCGGGGTCTCATCTATGGTGCTGTTTTTTCTTTTTCTTGGACTTTCTAGTGTCATTCTGCTGTTCTCTTGATTACTCATGAGGGCTAAAGTTGTAAAAATATCTGCAGAATCTTTGTCTTCTGTGTATTTTAGCAATTATCAGTTTACTTTCAAGCCAAAACGCTCTGAACTCGTGTCGACCTTGTGTTACTCTGGCAGTTGAAAGGAATTCTGAGCTTAGAACAGTGATGTCAGAACATTCAAAATATTCTTCTGACATCACAGGGGGGCGGGGTCTTAACAGTCATCACACGGGGGATGGGTCTTAACAGTCAAAACACGGTGATATTAACTAGAACATTCCAAAAGGTAAAAGGTAGGGTTGCCTAGCAACCACCCAACGGTAAGAATTTCTCTTGACCTAAAGAACAAAAAAAGGTCCCAGAAATCAAATCAATAACTCAACATAGGGCTTCATGTCAATTTCTTCCAGGAAAGACTTAGTTTGAGATATAAATCTTCATTAAGTATTTTTTCAGGAGAAATATGTGAATTATGCTTGATTTCCTGTCTCTGAACAATTTTCTGTTACAGCTTTAAACAGATTCTGAATTTAGTTTAGTTATATAGTACCAATTTAGAGCGCATTAGCCAAATCATTTACAGAGATATTGATATTTACAGAGGCAACTTAATCAGAGCATACATACAGATTAATTATTTCATATTCAAATGAAAACCAGCAGATCGTATGTCATTGACTTGCAAAATTCACTGCTTCTGGATGGGTAAATCAGTGAATATTTTGCTATGCAAGCACCCTTGAAGAAAATCGTGTTGGGTGTGATCATCCCTGTTTATTTTCAATAAGCACTAATTGCCCGACCTGTTATGGCAGGATTTTCTATCAGGTGCAAAACACACCTAAATGCAATGTAGGTACTGGGAGTACTGGGAGAGAGCCTATGTATTATAAGGAGAATGTGCCAAAGGCCCAATGAAAAAAAAAATGTATTGGGATTCCAACCCTAAACCTTCCTGTTGCCACTGCTTACCTTTCAGAGGGCTTCCCTGTACCACTATCAGAAATCTAAGTGGCTTTGCTGGTTTCCACTACGAATTTAAATAGAATGTGTTTTAAGTTTTACCTGAAGAAACTACGAGAAGTTCTGACGTGAGATAAAACTAGAAAAGCAATCAGAGAGTGCAGACCTACGCTAAGCAGATTGTTACTTACACATATAGCTAAAACTTGCACATGATCTGGATAATTACCAAATTTTAATGAATTGTTCCATGGCAGGGGGTGCACCTTTGTTAACAATTTCCTTAAAATCCTTTCATAATTTTATAAATAAGGCACAGCGTGTTCCGCAACATCTGGTGTTTGTTCTGCTCTCACCTTCTTCATTCACTATGCACTCTGCTTTCTTGTTTGTTGATAAGCCTTAGAGGGAGAGATGGCTCAATATCCTGTGTTTCTGTCTTTTGTATAAGACTTTTGGACTTTTTGAGTTTTTTTGCTGAAGCTGTAAATAGTCACTGCTGCCACTCTCTGGTTTAGAGGGGAACTGCCTTTTCACCAAATAATGTTAAAGAATCCTTTAAACAGTTCCTGCATCCGGATTACGATGTGAATCCTCACTATAATTTAATGGATTGTTCTAGTGGTGTAGTCTACATTATTGTAGTGGGTACACTGTGCTTAGAAATAAGCACGCCAGTAAGTGCAATGTAATTTACCCTTTTTTTTTTATTTTAAGCATATTTAACATTGCTTAATTTCTCTGTTGCTTACATTTGAATCAACGAACAACAAACTGTACTACAGTTGGCTTTGTATTGAAAAGACGTAGAATCTATAAAACAGTGCAACAAAACATGCTTAAGCCTCAATCTACATATAAGTACAGAAGTGCTATGCAGGTTAAAACTGTGTCTATAAAATGTTGCACACATGTTTGTTTTGAGTTTCCTTATGTTTCATTTGTCTTCTTGTTTCTGTTGCAGAGCGGTGGTTTCTTAACCATGTTGTCACATATTTCCTGGGTTCAAGAAGATTAACAGGAGGCCCATTTATACTGATCATCATGAGATGACTTATATTTGACAACAACAGAGAAGATCTTTTATCTGTACAGATATTGTTCATTAAGCTGAACCCTCTTTCACACTCAGCTGTGCTACATGGAATTGTTTGCATGCAAGTGATCAGTGGTTTAAGGTTTTCAGGCTCCTCCCTGCTCTATCCTTTCTTTGCCTTGCAGCTATATTTGCTGTGATCAGTGGGAATAAAGTAGTTTTAATATTTTTTTAAGTGGGAAAGTCCACCTGAAAACTTCCAGATTACCATCCTGCCTTGCAATATTAGATCTGCCAACGCGCTGCTGCTGCTCCAGATGGAAAAATGGAAGTTTTGCTGCTAAAAGTGCCGCATCAACCAATCAGAGAAGCTGATCTGGGAGCTAACAGCGAGACAGACACATCGCTGTGATGACATATGATATTAAGGCAAATGAAAAGGGCTGGATGGATGAGGAGATGATGAAAGCGTGGCTGAGGGAGCTGTATGTGAGGAGACCAGGTGGTTTTTTCCACGCATCACCATCGCTGTTTATCTGTGACTGCGTGCCCATCTCACAGCCGATGTGAAAAAAAAGGTGAATCAAATGAACGCTGTGCTCGCTGTTATCCCGGGGGTCTGACAAAGGAACTTCAACCGCTCGACATCGGTGTGAACCGGCCGTTCAAAGTAAGGCTGCAAGCGGCGTGGGAGCGATGGATGACCGACAGAGACCACAGTTTCACGATAAGTGGAAGGCAGCGCCGGGCAAATTACGCCACCGTTAGCGGATGGATTGTTGATGCTTGGACTAACGTGTCTGCTGGAACTGTTGTTCAAGCTTTCGCAAAAGCCGGCATCATTTCTGAGGAGCCGCCCGGCACGGAAAGTGACTCTGACAGCGAAGAAGGGGAAACTGGCATGTCTGATTTAGCGCAGCTGTTTAATTCAGAAACAGAGGATGATGACTTTGATGGGTTTGATTAATACTTTGTAATAAATACATGAATAAAGCACAATCATACTCAGTTTTGCTCCCGCTCTATTTTTCTACCTGAAAACTTCATTCAACAGCAGCCTCAGGGCCAGGTCTCCTCCGGTTTCACCGCAGCGGCTGGCAGGTGTTTTTTCATCTAAATAATCTAAATCTTGCAGCTATATTTGCAGTGATCAGTGGGAATAAAGTAGTTTTAATATGTTTTTAAGTGAGAAAGTCCACCTGAAAACTTAATAATTGCAGTCAGTTCATCCAGATTATTATCCTGCCTATACTATTTCTGTCGGAGGCGCTCAGACCCCCACATACCAGCGGTACACCGACAGTAGAAATCCCTTCAACAGCAGCCTCTGGGCTGGGTCGCCTCCGGGTTCACCGCAGCGGCTGGCAGGTGTTTTTCATCTAAATAATTTAAACTGCAGGCACCAGGATACTGGCAATAAAAGCAAACATATTCTGTCGGCAGGTTTCGGGATTTTAAGTTAATTTAGGAGTGATCACAGCGCTCTGTCATCTGCGATGTGTCTGTCTCACGGCCAGCTCCCAGGTTTGATTAATACTTTGTAATAAATACATGAATAAAGCACAGTCATACTCAGTTTTGCTCCTGCTGTATTTTTAAATACGCAGTAGAGGTATTTAAAGGTAGTAGAGGACATGTACCTGTATATAAAAAACGCGCCCTGTAGTCCGGTGCGCCTTATGGTCGTGAAAATATGGTAGTCTAACTAAGGGAAGGTTCTGTAATATGGCAAAACTAGAGCAGTTGGTAAAAAGCCACAGATCTCAGTTTAAGCTCCCAGCATTTCTAGGATGAGAGGGAAGTACCCCCCAAGAAGGGAATACATCTCTAATCAAGTTATAGACATTTTCTGGATTACATTGGGAAACCAGAGCAACAAATGGAAATACACAAAGTTAACATTAAACTAAATTTAACTTAAATCAAAAGGGAAGATTTTTTTTTTATACGGGGAAACTGGAGCACCCAGAGAAAACCCAAAAAACTGCAATTACACTAAAGGATGTTTCTGCAATAAGGGGGAACCAGTGCACCTGGATAAAAGGCAGGGATATCAAACTGAATTAAGTTCCTGCACTAAGAAGGAAATTTAGGGCAGCTGGACAAATCAACCTCTAATTATTGTGAAATTCCTGCATTGTAAAACTTTTCTTATGAAGTGTGCCGCTGTTTTCTGGTTATATTTGAGTATCTTCTTTCAACAACCACCGGTGGTGTAACAGCTCTTCTAGGGTGGGGCGTTCTTTTGGGTCTACTGTCAGGCACTTTGTTAGAAAATCTGTGCATTTCTTGGATAGCCTTTTGTTGATCTTTAGCTTATTTGACAGGAATCTTTTAGTAAAGAACTGTTTTTTGTGCAGAATGAAATACAGGACTACGCCCACCTGCCACACATTTGTTGGTCCAGAACTGAGGAACCCTTGTTTTTTTAATTCTGGTGGGATATGGACCGGAGTACCATAGAAATAATCATATTGTTTTTGGTCATCAAAGCAACTTAGACCAAAGTCTATAAGATAAAGTTTTGGGACTTTTGACTTGGTCTCTATCAGGATGTTCTCAGGTTTAATGTCTCTGTGGAAGATGTTTGCCTCCTGAAGGTGAATTAATGCTTTTAGCAGCTGTTTTATCATGATCTTGGCATTCTTCATCGTTATGCGACCATTGTGTTTTTGAATGTAGTAAAAGAGGTCCTCAGCAGGCATGGGTCTCTCCATAACTAAAATCAGTTCCTCATCCAGATCATACCAGTCTAGCATGGACACGATAGCTGACTGCCCCACTGAACTGGTTGTTTTATCCCTCAGTTTTAACATGATAGCCACCTCAGAGGGCATCTGCTTTCCATTCTCATCCACATGTATTAGCATGTCATCGTCTTTTTTAATGTGTTTGATGGCTACAGGTAATTTATCATGCACACGATAACCAGCGAAAACAGATCCACAGCCTCCCTCTCCAATTTGTGTTTGCTCAACATAGGTTTCCGTAAATTTGGCTTTAAGGGAATCCTCTGTTTCATCATTGGTGTTCTCTGTCTTTACTCTTTTCACATTCGGTGACTCTAGAAAGTCCTCTGCCTTTCTCTTTAGACTCCTTTTCTTTAAGTTTTGTTTTTCTGTTAAGTACTCACTCAGAGGGGAACGGCTCGATGCTGTACTGATGTGGTCCAGGCAACTTTTGTAGTCTTCTTCCCCCATAGAGACCTTAAACTTTTTTCTGGCGGTGGAGTCTCCATGCTCAAAGATTTTCCTGTTTTTGCTTCTCACTGTACTGATCTGGTCCAGGCAGCATATGTAGTGCCAATCCCCTGTAGATAGCTTAAACTTTTTTCTCGGGGTCTCATCTATGGTGCTGTTTTTTCTTTTTCTTGGACTTTCTAGTGTCATTCTGCTGTTCTCTTGATTACTCATGAGGGCTAAAGTTGTAAAAATATCTGCAGAATCTTTGTCTTCTGTGTATTTTAGCAATTATCAGTTTACTTTCAAGCCAATACGCTCTGAACTCGTGTTGACCTTGTGTTACTCTGGCAGTTGAAAGGAATTCTGAGCTTAGAACAGTGATGTCAGAACATTCAAAATATTCTTCTGACATCACACGGGGGCGGGGTCTTAACAGTCATCACACGGGGCGGGGTCTTAACAGTCAAAACACGGTGACATTAACTAGAACATTCCAAAAGGTAAAAGGTAGGGTTGCCTAGCAACCACCCAACGGTAAGAATTTCTCTTGACCTAAAGAACAAAAAAGGTCCCAGAAATCAAATCAATAACTTAACATAGGGCTTCATGTCAATTTCTTCCAGGAAAGACTTAGTTT